AGTTGAGTTCTTTGGGATCATCAGAGGGTGGAAGTGTATTCCCAGACGCTCCTTGCTGCATGTGCTGTTCTTGTAGTTCAGCTTGTACATGATGCCCTGTGATGCATGACAGAGTTAGGATCAGCAGTGGCACCAGTTACTTGAACACAAATGTCACTTATTTGCTGCCATTACCTGTTTGTAGAGCAGGATGGCATCAAATTGAAAAGTTTCATTGTTGTAGTCTCCAACCTCTTGTAGGCGGATGCGCTCTCCCAGTGCATCATAGGTGTAGTTGACATTTGCCGTCAGCATCCCTTTTTGGGAGGCCTTAAAACATACAAATATATAGGTTTGCCTTAAGTTTATTTTACTTCATTACACAACATTTAAAAGCTCTGAAATGAGCTGAGCCTTACCAGAATGAAAGAACCAGTCATCAGTGTTGGGGAGGCTGTTGGGATGAAAGAGTTTAAATAAACAAAGCTTTGGAGCATTTCTGTGATGCTTCAGAAGAAAACCTACAGGATAAATTTATTTAATGTGTGTGTACTTACAGCATGGCTGAGGTTTCTGAGCCAAGCAGCCTACTACTAAACACACAAGCAGGACGAGAGCTCTCATGTTGTCTGGCAGCAGGTTCACTGTCCTGTTGGGCTGTGACAGATTATTGACTGCTCACCTCCTTTTAAACACGTCGGGGAGTTCTTCCACTGCCGCATATTTCTGATTCCTCAAAGGTTTACGTTGCAGCCCTGAGAGAATCCACACATACATACATCCATCATCTTTACCGGCTTCTTCCTTTTCGGGTCACGGGGGTCACTGGTGCCCTGAGAGAATAATCACTGAATTAGTGAGCATGTTTGTGTGCAGGTGCTTCAGCTGATAGACACTCAGAGATCAGGCAAATCATGTAATCCCTATATATTTTAAATCAGGGACATACTCCTAACAAGAATTTTGCAAAATCTTAAACCTTTTATTACACAAAGGTAATGGATGACTCCTTTATCCACCTATCTCCTCTACATTGTTAGATCATATTTCATTGTGACTGGTGACACAAAAACAAACACATTATTTCTCAACCTCTGAGCAGCAGGATCTGAATCCAACCATGAACTTTCACTCCACTTTTCTTTTTGCAAAAAGGGACAACTGGAAATACCCTCCCTTCATCCATACTTGTACATATTGTTGTGACCATGATAACTTGGAACATAAGTGAGGCACCAACTTCAATTTTGGTGTGTGGTAACATCTAGGAGTGACAAAAGGTTAGTTTTGAAAATTGAGTTTGAGGAACCTATACTTTAAGCATTAGAAAACTAGAAAGCATTGTTCCCTCAGATGCTTGGTGTTGCCAAACATTGATCTATGCTGGCTAAGGCCATCACTGACTACCCTCTGGCTCCGCCAATGCGCATACACAGTGCAACTCCTACCTAATTACAGCAATATCTTAAACCAAAAACATAAATATTTTCTTGCATTCCCTAATAAATTCAACACAAGAACCACAACAGAAATCTTGACAACAAATTTAGCTGAACAAGAAGTAAACGTCCTGGGAAGGGGGATTGCTGAATGAGGCCAGGTGTGCTGATTACAAACAGAGGCTAAGGTGTGATAATAACAGAGGCTAGGTGTGAGTGGAGCTAGAAACAGGAACAACTGAGGAATCCAAGGGGGAAAAAATAGAACTAGTCAAGAAAACCCAACGAAGATAGAATTAATATCAAAGTGAATTTAGTTTATTAAGCACATTTAAAACAACTAACCAGCCACTTGGGAGCACAAGCTAGTGTATCTCTTGTGCCATTCGCAAGCCTGGGTAAATGGAGAGGGTTGTGTCAGGAAGTGTATCTGACATAAAAGACTTTTACCAAATCTATAATGCGAGTTCATCTAGCAACACCATACTAGATCGGTCGAGGCCCGGGTTAACAATGACCGCCACTGGTGCTGTTGACAAACAGGGTGCCGGCGGAAATTGTGCTACTGTTAGTCGAAGACCACGAGGAGGGAAATGCGTCAGGAGACAGAGGGTGAAGAAGAAAGTCGAGAATGTTGGACTGAGAGTGGCAACTCTAAATGTGGAGACAATGACAGGCAAAGGTAGAGAGCTGGCTGACATGATGCAGAGAAGTAAGGTAGATGTTTTATGTGTCAGGAGACAAAGGGGAAGGGCAGCAAGGCTTGCAACATTGGAGCAGGGTTCAAACTGTTTTACCATGGTGTGAATAGAAAGAGAAATGGAGTAGGGGTGGTCCTGAAGGATGGGTTGGCAAAGAATGTAGTAGAGGTGAAAACAGTGTCAGATAGTGTGATGTGTCTGAAGGTAGAAGTAGAAGATCTGATACTACATGTTGTCAGTGGTTATGCTCTACAGGTTGGATGTGATGTAGAGGAGGAAAAATGCATTTTGAAAGGATCTGGATGAAGTGACAGAGTGTATTCCCAGGGAGGAGATAAAGGCGATTGTAGCAGACCTGAATGGACATGTTGGTGAAGGAAACAGAGGGGATGAAGAAGTGATGGGTAGGTTTGCTGTTCAAGAAAAAAACAGGAAGGACAGATGGTGGTGGATTTTGCCAAGAGAATGGAAATGGCTGTAGTCAACAATTGTTTCCAAAAGAGGGAGGAACATAGAGCGACCTAGAAGAGTGAAGACATTAGTACACAGGTAGACTACATTCTGTGTAGAAGAGGAAACCTGAAGGAGATTGGGGACTGTAAGGTATTGACAGGGGAGAGTGTGACCAGGCAGCATCAGATGGTTGTGTATAGCATGGAAGGTGTTGGTGTGGAAACCAGCGTGGCCGGTGCTGGTGTGGAAACCAGTGTGGCAGGTGCTGGTGTGGAAACCAGCAAGTCTAGTGAGTCCACAACCAGTGGTACAGGGCAGACAATGTCATCTCCAACCCCCACTGAAGCACAGGGGCGGGGGCCATCCTCCTCACAAGCCACAAACATGTAGGTGTGGGGGCCATCCTCCCCACAAGCCACAGACACGCAGATGCAGGGGGTTCGACTGCTCCATTGGTTGAGGTGACTCTTCCGCTGGATGAGAGCCCGATCGCCATTCTGGCAAGTGAGGGCTCAGGTGCCCCTCCACCAGCGAAATTCTCCCCCTCTTGCCCTGGTGCGTCTTGGAAGGTGGATGGAGGAGCTGCAGGTCAGTGGGTCCATTCCGGTTTTGCCATCTGGACCTCCTGCCGTGGTGGCGTGAGTCACGACCAGGAGCAAGCTGGAGCTCTTCCGACTCAGGATCCTCTCCTGAGCAGGTGGCAGAAAAGTGGCGAGGGCGTGGAGAGGAACGTGGCAGTGGAGAGCAGCACACAGGCTTAATGGCCAGACACGTTCCGTAGAACTGGGATGTCCGCCTCTCTTCCTCCTCTACCAGGAATGGAGATGGAAGTACTTCCACCTCACAGCTGTGAGGGTTTCATTTCCAGGCAGGTCTGGACTCCTCCAGCTGACAGCCGCCCCATTGGATGATGGGCTTCGCCTCCTCTCGCTCCTTCTTCTCTTTGTCCCGCTGGGCAATTTTGTCCACCTCACAGGTGAGCCATTTAAAAATGTCAATTTTCCTGCTGGGTTCTTTATGATCCGGGCTTTGAGTCATGATCTGTAGTTTAAGGTTCGAACTCACGCGCAAGAAAACAGGAGGACTCAATAGTGAAAATAAATAATAATTTATTGAACAAAACAAAATGCTGATGGGGCAGAAACACTTACTTTAAATATGATATGACAGGTGGAACAGACCATACACCATGGAAGGATAAAGCCCAGATGCCAAAGGAGTGAAAACACACAGTCTAAATACTGACACTAATGAGACGGTGAGGAGCAGCTGGGATGATTAGAATAAGGATCAGCTGTAGATGATGACATGGAAAACAGAGGTGCAAGAAAACAGGAACAGCAACAGAACCATGTCAGTCCTATCAGGACACGATTTGAGACATACAAAAACTCTACCAGCAAGCATATTTATAGACACATCACATATGAATTTGACGTCGAGGCGTTGAGATTTGTCCATGGGCATTTTCAGATAGGCCACAGTTCTGAAGATGTTGTTTCAGCCAGCAGTTCTGAAAAGCCTGCACAGAAGTTCTGAGAGGGGGAGAGGGGGGTTGCGATAGATGAAGCTTTTGTCCCTAGTTACCCATGACCCAGGAAAAATTTGATAGTCGGCTTGTATCCAAGGCCAAACAGGGGAGTCAGATTCAGATAAGCCACAATTGTTGATTTTTCTTCAGGCAGTCCTGCTGAAACTTTCTGGTCCAAAATGGCCAAATTTATAGGTATTTCCACGCCACTGATCCATGTTATGAGCCTTCATCAAGGTTGATCCCAACATGCTGACGAGTCCTAGGAGATGCAGATTGCCTGCGATTCTCACAAATTGCCTCTATCTTATTGTTTAGCTCGTAAATCAGCTGATTTAGAGTACTCATGGCACAAACCAAATCTTCGCACCGACTCAAAAGCTTTGTCACATCCAAAACTGCTGCTGAAGTCTTCTTCAAAAGTCAATAAAACAGAGCCTCGCTGATACCAAAGAACAGAACCCCTGCTATCATAAATCCAAATATATAAACATCTTCAGCGTACTCCTACGACAGGACTGAGAGGCACATCAGCTGCCAACTCCCCACGGATCTCTGACATACCCCACAGCGTGAGTCTCAGCCAGACAAGAGGGTTCTCCAGGGCCCTGTCATTTTGTTGAATAGATTTTGCCAATTGTGTTGAAAGTCTAGGTCACCAGATTTATAATCAGATTTTTCATTTGGGAGATGTGTACCAGGAGCTTCAAACACACAGAAGGCAAAGAAGGAGGAAGAGGAGAACAAGAGAGTAGGAGTGTCCGCCTTGAGCGAGAGCCAGAGTATGGAAAAAAGAGAAGAGAATGAAAGAGAAAGAAGAGAGGCCATAGAAACTGTGGACCAGGAAGTAAGAAAGATTAGTGAGGGTGAAGTCCAGAAATCTCTGAAAAGAATGAAAAAGGGGAAGGCAATAGGTTCAGATGACATACCAATAACGGTTTGGAAATGTTTTGGAGAGATGGCAGTGAGGTTTTGATTCAAATGTTCAATGGCACATTTGAAGGTGAGAAAATACCTGAAAATGGAGAAGAAGTGTACCGGTGCCCATTTTTAAGAACATTTGTGATTTACAGAGCTGCAACAACTACAGGGGAATCAAGGTGAAGTGTCACGAATCACGTCCCATAGATTATATTTTCTGTCACCCTGATCACTCTTTAAAGTTTGCTATAAATCTTTTCTGTAAGTTTCATTAATTCTGTCCGCTCTGGTAATGTTTGTTTATGTATGTGAGTTTTAGTTTGTCTTCTTTGCATGCTGGTGGAAGGTGATGTCACGGTTGTTTAGTTTTGTCTTCACTGCAGCCAGCAGCAGCTGATTGAACTCAACTGGCTGCACCTGTTTCTCTCACCCTTTAAAAGCTGCATGTTTTCTCCTCTTCGGTGCCCGGTAGTTGAAAACAGTTCACTGTAAGTAGATACCTCGCGTTACTGATCCTGCCTTGTTCCCCCATAGCCTTTCATGTCCCCTTGTCATAGTTTACCTGTCTCCTCATTCCTGTCCCGTTCCTGGATCCTGTCCTCCCCTCTTGGCT